TTGGTATGCAGCATACTAACTCTACCTACAGTTATCTTTTTTAAAGTTTTGGACAACCAATAGGCAAAGCTGAAATGGTCTAGATGATAAATCTTGAGCACAAGCACATTGATATGTTTTTTTTCATCATGACTCTATTGAATCGTTTCACACGTAAATTTTTTAGCAAGGAAATTATTCATTACATTAAGCATAATTTATTGTATTTTTTTATAGTTAATACTTTATCATGATGCTTTGTAGTGAGTATAGAAATAATTTGAGAGGTTCTACACATTATCGACGATCAAACCCTCGAGAGCTTGATAAGTTGTTCGTCGATAACTTTCATGAATGGTTAGGAGCAACTGTAAGTAATGCCATACTTCCCATTATGAGAAGTCTACATAGAATGCTTACGGTATAACTAACATTAATAACATCTATATATTTATTCCACTTTTATAGGTTTGAAGTGGAAAGCTTGTTAGTGAAGAGGTGAAGTGTCTTTCATAAGGTTTGAACAGGATTGTGAAATGATACAAAGGTTTCATCATCAATGGATTTAGATTTCACACTAAATCTCATGAAAGATTTAGAAGTACATAAAATTCAGGAGTTGTTGTTACTTCATCAACTACTAGATATGCTAGTGCTAGGGACACAAACCCTTTAGAGGAAAATGTTGACTATTATGGCATGATTAATGACATCATTAAGTTGGATTATTATGGTAAGTGAAAAGTTATCTTATTTCGGTGTGATTAGGCTAATGTGAATAGTGAAAGGGGTATTAAGAAATCTCAGTATGAATTTACACTTGTGAATTTTTCTCGATTAATTCACACTGGACAACAACTCATCGATGAACCTTATGTGTTTTCATCTCAAGTCAAACAAGTTTTTTATTCTGAAAACCTCAAAGAATCGGGTTGGTTTATTATTTTTCGAAACACACCTAGAGACTTATTTAATATGGGGTTAGATATAAGAGATGATGTTGAACATAGAATTAATTGTTATCTTTTTGCTGAACAAAACTTGGATAAAAATCTCCAGTATCTACGCTCAGTGGATCCGCAAAGATGTTACTGAAGACATTTATGAACCATTATGAATCATCTATATTTTGTAATTTAAGTGTTTAAGACATAATGTAGTAAATGATATGTATGAAATAGTTGTCACATTAGCTATTGTATATTTATTGTATTGTAAATCATATATTATCTTTTGATTTAATTAAATTGATATGTTCTTTATATATCGTAGGTTATGATTTCTTAACTTCTCAATGTCTTTATATATGTTCTAAACTAATATCTTTTATATATTCACTTTTATGATATAGGTAAGCTACAATGTAGAGGAGTAGATTGAAAGGAATACATATCAGAGATATTAATTCAAAACCATCGTAACACCTATTGATATTGGCTACGGACTGAATCTTTTGGAAGGGAATGAACATACTGCCAGATCTAACTCAGTGACTTCTAATCCTTTAACTGATATTGGATCTGGCAATACGAGAGGTCCAAATTTAGATAGTATCTAGTCAATTGATTATGCTATAAATTTGAATATAGGTATCATATACCCCATATTTAGATTTTGATTATAATGATAAAAGTATTTTAAATTTAGTTTATTGATTAAACTTTTCTTTTTGTATTATTACAGTCAAGATTTATATTTGAAATATCAATTTCATTTGTGCTTAAGTCATTGGGAAAGAAATGGAAAGATTATAAGCAAAATTTGAAGAATAAGTATTTCGATCGAGATACTATTGTAAAAGTGATGATGAAAAATCTACCCCTTAATATGATTAGGTGACAATATGAACAATTAGTTAGATTTGGGTTCTCAAGAAAAAGAGAGGTACTAATTTATAACTTTGTATAGTAGAATAAAATAATAAAAGTGTTTTATCCTTTAAGTTGGTAATATTTGTATTTCTACCATATACACAATTATTTTGTATGACAGGAAAAAGAACAGATTGAGATTGGTAGCAGAAAGCAACAGAAATATAGAAACATAAGTGGATCAAAAAGTTTTGCAAGAAAGCAAAAAGAAATAGTAAGTTTATGATTTTAAACTTATTCCAATGAATGCACTTTTTGTGCCATTAAAAGGTAAATATGCAAATTAACAGTTATTGTTCTGTTTTAATAGTTTTGATAGTTTCAATACATGATATTAAACTTATAGAAAGTTTTGAACTTAGTTGACAGGGATGATATATATGAAAAAATTATTGTTTATGTCTATTTAAGTAAAAATATAAATTTGTTGTTATTGTTCTATTTAAACAGTTTAGATAGCTTCAATACTTAATATTAAACTTGTCCGATTGATTGAACTTGATTTCTACAGTTGATATGGGTGAAAAAATTGTCGTTTATATCTATTTGAAACTATTTTTACCTTTAAAAGGCACAAATACAAATTAAACTTTTGGATAGCTTTCAATAGTTTGATTGGCTTCAATCCATGATATTAAACTTGTCCAAATAATTGAATTTGGTTACCATGATCGATATGTGTAAAAAGCTAAAATACTTTTATTGTTTGTGTCTGTTTAAAACTATTGTGTTGTTAAGGGGCCAATATATAAATACATGATATTGAAAGTATTTGAAATTTTTAAACTTGGTTGATAGGCTTGATATGCATGAATAAGTTGCCGTTGGTATATATCTTATCAAATAACATATGTTTTTGTATAGGAGATTAAGATGGGCGGTAAAATTGGATGTGTGAAACTTTTTCACTTAACACACACAAAACAAAATAAATCTTAAATGAATGTCAAAACACAAAAAATTGTGATAATTTGTAACATCTATTTTACCAGAAAGTAAATATTTAATCTTTTTAACATATTATCAATTAATCATTAAACTTGATAGTTATATATGACTAACTTACAAGAGAAAGCGAAAGAGAAAATGGCTACTGAGATTGAAGTAGCATTTGATAGTTTTCTCAATATGCAAGAATTGAAAAATTGGATATTCATAGAAGTTGCTAGAAAAGAAAGGCATGGATGAGTCCGAGGCCTTGGATTGGGTCCAATACCATCTACCTACTATGATGTAGTTCTCAGTAATTTATATTCTTAGCAAGTCAGTCTTTGCGAGACATTTCGATATTAAGAGAGGAGTTACAAACTATGTAACAACGTTTCCAGCAAATGAAAGCAGAAAGAGAACAAAAGCATGTCAAATTAAGGAAGAAGGTGCTAGAATGGAGCAAAAACATGTAAAAGTTCAGCAGTTGCATGATCGATTTGATATCTTATGAATTTTATGCAACAACAATTTTCAGGAACTTATCTCGGTGGTCCACCAACCCAGGTATTATTTTAGTAAATATTTATCTTTTTTAATATAAAAAAAGCTTACAATGAAGTGTTAAAAATTGTATGCTATTATTTAATAAATTCTTAAGCATGTTAGTGACCAAAGTGAAAAAATTCTTTCGTCAATTGGTAGCCTTCAAAATCTATGCAGTCATCAATTTTATATATTTTAATTTTTATTTTGTTAATGTATTAAAAAAATTGAATGTTATTATACTAATTATTAAACTTTGTGTTAATTAAATGTATATTTGAATGTAAATTAAGTTTATATTAATTTTAGTTTTTGAATTTAAGCTTGTTTATGAAAATAATAAATATTTACAAAAAAATTTTATTTAAAAAATACATTTCTTAATTCTGCGGTATTTGCATTAAAAAATGTCGCTAAATGAATAATTTAATGGCATTTGTACCATAAAATACCACTAAGAGTAATGGTACTCTTACTAGAAAACATGCTAAATTAGCAATTTTTTTTATACAAATGCCACCAAAATAACGACATTTTTTTTTTATAAAAATGTCACTAAATTAGCGGCATCTCAAAAATATAAATGTCACTTAAATAATGATATTTTTTATATATAAATGCCGTTAATATAGCGATATTTTTTAGATTCAAACGCCATTAATATAACAGTGTTTTTCACATTCAATGTTGCTAATATAGCGGCATTTTTCACATACAAACGTCGCTAATATAACGGTATTTTTCACATACAAGTGCCGTTAATATAGCGGCGGTTTATAAAAGTGTCGCTATTTTTTGTGACACGTGTATAATCGACACTCCAATTGACATTTTTCGTAAACCTCATAAATCTTTTAACGGTATTTAAATGCCGCTAAATGTTAAAAAAAAACCACTAAAAACCTAAATCCTGTAGTGACAATTATACAATTAGGTGTATAAATGTATACAAATAGAACAACTGCTTTATTAATAACTTTAAAAGGTAATATAAGTATAAAATCATTCTTCCTCTTAGTTTTCAAACTTCTATATAATTACGTGTTATTACAAAATCCTTGATGTGATTAAAAGAAGACTAAAAAAATTCTTTCTATCTTTATAATTAAATTCAACATCTACAATTATAATTCTACATAAAATATTTCATTCACATATTTCCTTCTTTATGTTTTATTCTTACCAAATGAAAAGATAAATAATAGAATAGCTAAATAATAACTTCTAAAAAAATATTCCATAAAATTGATAAATAATTAACAGTAATGATATTGACTTGGCAGCATTCATTCAATGAGCGAAATCATTTATATATAGGCTTAACACATTAACTCATTTGACAATCCAATGCAATCCTGATTTATAAAATTTGCAATATGAAACCAAAAATCCGTCTATGCTCATATGAAAATAAACCGAAACCAAATTAATATAACTTGAGAAAACTCGAGAGTTAAATAATCAAAATCTAATGACATACGGACTCGACCCACCAATTTCGTTGTGCCTTCTAAATTTATAATTTATAATGACAGTTTGAAAATAACACGATGGTGACATCAATAATTAATCTTAGTGATCCAGAAGCTTCTTTGTGTTGTCCAAATATTGTTTATAATTTTTTTTTTTTTTTGGGTAATAACTTTATATGGTCATAGAGTACAGTTTCTTAGCTAAAATAATTTCTAGTTCTTCAAGTTCTCATCTTATCACTCAAGACTACTCCAAGCGGTTTGTTAAAGGAAGAAGTTGTCTTCTTCAGATTTATCTATGTCAAAGGACCTTAAAATTTTCCTTGGATTGCTAGGAGGTGAGAAATTTTGGTCTAATCAATATATTGTTGTGCAAATATATATGTCCCTTTTTTTAAAATTTTTTAGCAATCTTTCTTTAAACAAAACAGCATCTTGTTCTTGTTTATGATTGAATTCTAAAAGCCGTGATGTCCTCTTAACAAAATTTCAGGGCTAGTGGGTTTTTTACTAATTGTTAAAATCATAGGGGAGCCAAAGAAAGAGGAAAAGAAGACAGGGAATAAGGACCAGGACATAGAGACGGTAATGGAGGCTTATAACCATGAAAAACCATCAGGGCCAAAGGTTGAGGAAACGATAGATGAGGAATTAGGTTTAACAAAGAAACAAACAGTAGAAAGATTCTTAGATCAGGTGCTCAAAGAAAAACCAGCCAGGTATTCATCTCAATTGCTTGAAATTTTCACATTAAATTACTCTACCAAATTAGGTGAAGGTGGGTATGGAGCAGTTTACAAGGGATATTTTCCTAATGGACATCAGATAGCTGTTAAAGTACTGAACAACAATGGCCTAGACAAGAGAGTTGACGAGCAATTCATGGCTGAAGTCAACACTATTGGAAGAACATACCATAGGAATCTAGTAAGGCTTTATGGCTTCTGCTTTGAAGAAAAGACCAAAGCTCTAGTTTATGAATACATGGAAAATGGATCTCTTGACAAGCTATTGTTTGAAAACAAACATGAAATTGAGTGGGACAAGTTGTATGAGATAGCAGTTGGGGCAGCCAGAGGGCTTGAGTATTTGCATCACTTCAGCCATAGGAGAATAATCCATTATGATATTAAACCTGCAAATGTTTTGCTCGATTCTAACTTTTGCCCAAAGATTGCAGATTTTGGACTAGCAAAGTTGTGCAATCCGGACAGCACAAATGTAACCATGTCAAAAGTTGGAGGAACTCCTGGTTATGCTGCACCAGAGGTTTGGATGCCGTTTCCCGTAAGCTACAAATGCGATGTTTATAGTTTCGGGGTGATGCTGTTTGAGATTGTTGGAAGGAGGAGGAATTTTGATGTGAACTTGGATGAGAGTCAAAAGTGGTTTCCGACACAAATATGGGAAAAGTTTGAAAAGGGAGAATTGGAGGAGATTTGGGACAAATGTGAAATTGAAGAAAAAGACAGGGAAAAAGCCAAGACAATGGTAACAGTGGCTCTGCAGTGCGTCCAATACTTGCCAGAGGCAAGACCTTCCATGAGGAATGTTGTAAAGGTTTTAGAAGGTGGAGCTGAAGCTGCGACTCCCACAAATCCATTTCAGCACTTGATTTCATCAGCTCTTGTACCTTCAAGCATGGTTAGCAGCTCAAATTCAACAACAGATTATGATGAGGATTACAGGGATGATACCACAATCATGAGAAGATATGAGATTCAATATGCAACTTCTTAGCATTGAGTAAGTTTATAAACATAGCCTAATCAATGCAAGAGATCTTCCATGTTTTACGGGGTAACTATACAAATTCTTAGGATCATGCATAGCTTTGCAAGCTAGGACATAATTGCAAGTCACATATGACATACTTTTTTTAACATGTGATATTTATTGGGTTAAACGAAGGAAGTTTTCATTTTTCTTTCTTCAATTCATAGATCTTACGTTGTGAAAGATGAAATCTTAAACTTTATTTATTGAAATGTTTTCAATTTTATTTTCTTCTTTTTAGCAAGACTTCAAAACAATTCAGAATAAATTATGTTTAGTTCGCTATTCATAAAACCCAATTTATTATATTTGAAATAGTTAATTACAATAATAAATTTTCTTAGTTGTAAGTTGAATTGTATAAAAATTAAACTATTTGTTCAAATTTAAAGGTCCGTTTAAATTTTTTAAAAAATTTGACAAAAAATTAGGATTTGTTGGATAAACTTAGACAAAAACTTTAAAGCCATTTAAAATTCATGTTGTAACTTTAAACAGGAAAATTAAAACTCGAATCCAACCTGACTTAATTCGAATATATTATATATAATTAAACTATTATAATTTTTTAATATATACGTAAAAAAATTCAAATTTCAACTTAAAAATCCTAATGTATAAAAAGTTAAGAAAATGGTAAGACCTTGGAAATAAAATAAATAGAAACATAATCGATACTGCAATAGCACTACACCAGATTAAAAGTATCCCATAATGATTCTTCTTATGACATATGTCTGATATTGTTAAATTATTTTATACCATTATTCATCATTCATATTACAATGATTCATGAGACATGCATCCAATTTTACAGAATATCCATTTTACTCCTTAATTTTAATTTTTTATTTATTATTTATCTAATATTTTAAATGATTGTTATAACCTTATTGTATAATTGATTGTTAAAAAATAAAGATGGCATTTAATAATTGTTAGGATTTTTTTAGGTGACAAATTGAAGCCTTTAAAGCGACCCAAATTTGATAAGAAAGAGTACGACGAGGTATTACAATTATTATTTATATTATTTGGATATATCTATTACATAAAACAATATCTATTTGTATATCGTGGATTATTATAATCGTTTATATTAAATTTGTCTGAATTGTTGAACTTTGCTGTCACTCAATGTATGAAAATTTTATAATTTTAGTATTTTTTGGATTTTTGTATTATAAAAGATGAAATCATAAATCTAGTTATATTTTTTATTTAGTAACTAGAATGCCTCGAATTTGTGATATTAAACTTGTAGAATAGTTGAACTTGACTATCTCTCTTGATATATGTGAAAAAAGTTATAATTTTATATTTTGTTATACTTTTTGTGTCATTAAGGGATGAAATCATAAATCTAATTGTATATCCATGTGGCATGACTTAAATATATCGATTATATGATATTAAATTTGTCTGAATGATTGAATTTGACTGTCACTTTTAATATGTGTGAAAAAATTATGATTTTAGTGTTTTTGGACATTTTGTAACATTAAATGACAAAATCGTAAATTTGGTTATATGTTTTTTATTTAGTGACTTGAATATCTCAATTTTATGATATTAAACTTATCTTAATGGTTTAACTTAGTTGTCACTTTTGATATGTCTAAAAAAAATTACGGTTTTAATGTTTTGTTGGACTTTTTTACCGTTAAAGGCAAAAACATAAATCTGATTATATATTTTTGATTTAATGATTTAAATATCTCAATTATATGATATTACACTTATTCAAATGATTAAGCCTGCCTTCCACTCTTAATATGTGTGAAATTTTCAATCTAGACTTATATCGATGATTTAGTGTTCTTTTATCCGTCTAGATTACTATCATATTAAATACGTTGTTTACTTTTTCAATAGATTGTTGCAAACAAAGTGATCTTGGTGCAAAAAATCAATCATTTAATTCTAGAATTCTAACTCTGACATTCATGAATTTCATGCTTGTTGAATTTTTATTTTATGTAATTTGAAAATAAGTTAAATTTTATTGTATGTTTATTACTTATTAATTACTCGAACAATTGACGTATTTAGATATTTTATAATATTAAGTTAATAAATTTGAATTAAATTTTTTGCATTTCAATAATATATTTTGATATTTAATGCAGTTATAGCAGTAAATATGGAAACAAATTATTATTTCAAATATTAATTTCTCATTTATATTCACAAAATAAAAAAAAAATTAAAAGTGGCACATTACCGGTGTTTGTGAGATAAATGTTGTTAAATTTACAAATTTAATGGCGTTTGTATACTGTAATGGCCACTAAATGCAAAAAAAAAAAAAAAAAAAAAAGAAAACCTCAGCTTAGAATTGCATCTTAAGACGTTAAGAAACATCGCTAAATATACTTAAAACCGCTGCTACATTATTAAAAAGGATGCTAATTTTTTGACGTCAGAATAGTTGAAGTTTTGTTTTGCGGTGTTAATCAAATGCCCTTAAATTTTTAGTAGCATTTATAAACGCAATTAAATTTATAAAAAACCGCTGTCAAAAACCTTTGTATTGAATGTCTAAGAGACTTGCTCTTGGTTGAAAATGACAGAGAATAAAGAATAGGTTCAAGCATTAATTCAAAATTTTGTTCTATGAATAATTTATAACGTCTCTATTTATAGAAATTTAAATTCAGAGTTATGACTCTTTAATTTTGTCGATTCATTCAACTAATTTGTCTTTTCAATAAATTCACATCTTTTTAAGCTCAATAGATGCCAATGACAATAATTTACAAGTGAAAGATCACCATATGATAAGGCTAGAACTCAAATGAAATGAAACAAGCATTGCAATCAAAAGTTATCACTTATGAACTAGGGCAGTTGAATGCTTGTGGAAGGCGTTCGACTTTCCTTTTATAATTTTGTTCAAAAACACTTTTCAAGGTCAAGGCAATCGTTTTCTCTATAAAAGACATTCGACTACCATGGTATAATTTTGAAATAGTAAGTTTTTCCTAACATAGCAATCGACATTTTTGCCCGAGGCATTCGATTGTTTTAGGTAAAACTGAAACAAAATACTTTTCCAGTCATGGCAACAGACTTTCCTAGTTGATCATTGGATTGGCTAACTATTCATGGCATGATAGTTAACTACCATAGGTCAAGTATTCAACTGCCATAAAGTAAATGTGAAACAAAAAACAATTATTATGTAAATTTGAAACAGAATCAAATCATATGTATGAGCATTCAACTGCCTATATTGGAAGTCTCAATTCTTTTTTGTCTTAAATCAATTTCCTTTTGTTATGGAACCTTTCCAAAGTTATTTTATAACTTTTAATCACTAGTTTCTCAATCCATTGATTAAAACAATACTTTTAACATCCCCATTGACATTTTACATGCATTTAACAGTGATGCCTGCATAATTGTATAAGCAACATTTTAGACCTCGTCTTCAGTCCAGTTCCTTTTCATCCTAGGACCCGTAGGCCCTTCTTGCCCCAATACTTCATTTGGAAGACTTTTCACAAATTTCTCAAAAGCAGATTTAAGCTTTCCAGGCAATAATTTTTCCACCTTTTTGATCTCATCTGCCAAGTCATAACTAATTTTCGGACCCCATTCCCTGAAATAGTTGAGCCATGGCGGCTCAATAATAGCAGAACCCAAGTACTCAGCTGCAATTAAAGAAAATTGGAGGCCAGTATCCATGAGAATCTTACTCTTGGCAGTGTCATTTCTAATTCCTATCCCTCCATTTCCTTGCAAAACTAGTCCAGGTTTTGAATACATGGCATGACCATGTAAGGATGAATAGGTACAAGGTTTATTCCCACCTTGAAACTCTAGGTCTGATGCATTCACCCATGAACCTCCGCTATGTTCCGAGAAATACATACTCTGTAATTCTCCATTAAAGTTGCTGACCCTCAAAGTCACATGCTCCCAATCGCCAACATGTTCACCAATCCTTCCTAGTGAAATGTTGATAAATTCTACTTTAGCCCTTGCTGGTCCATTAAAGGGGTAAAACACCCATATCGCGATGTCCGAATAGGTTGCTCCTAACATTGGTTTTACATGCAAATAAACTTGGGAGTTCTGCAAATCTCCTTTCTTTACTCTTTCCATGGTTGCATCCTCCATGGGAAGATCCAACCAATAGTTACCATCGTTTGAACCGCCTTGGGGAAGGTTTGAACCCGTTGGGTCTATTGAAACTGGTTTCGACACTTCTCCCTTTGTGTATAGTAATGCCCCATTGACAAAAAACCATTTGACGGACGATGGGAGGTAAGCTTCATCATGATGGAAATAAATCCAAGGAGAGTAAGCTTGAAATAATGTCTCAATTTGGCGTAGATTAGGCATGCAAGATAAATTAGACTTGACATTTTTCAAACCAGGTAGAGGAGCAGGGGAGCCATTATTAGGATTTTGGGCTACAAATGTGCCCACCCAAACACCCATGTCTTGAGATCCTCTATTGATGGGCCTTAAACTGAAAATATTGAATTCTTTTGAATTGATTTCCTTACCCGGTCCCCAAATCCACGCAGAATTCTCGCTTTGATCAGTAAAATCAGATCGAACGCAACGTATTTTCTCCAGGGAAGGCTTGTCCTTAGTGTTCATGACGACATAGCCGACAGCCTGGTATCCTTCTGGAGCTATGGGCAACCAAACGTAACAATTGCCATCTTGCTTGATTTTCAAAGACTCACTGCTCCAAACAAGGGTGTAATCAATGGGCTGTTTTAGTAAAGCCCCACCCGTGTCATCTTTGGCTGCAAGAACCCACCCAAAACGCAACCTGTTGTTGGGTTGGGCATAGCAGCCTAGCATATAGTACCCTTCTGGTATTGACGATGGTTCAAAAAAAGTAGCCCCAAGATTATCTGGCCCGCCTTCGTGAGTTACCCATACTTTTGTAAAAGATGATATCTGGCGCACATGTATTCCACCAAGATCAATAGTCCCACCTGCAAACCCTTCACCTGTGGCAATTCATGAAGTCAATCAAACGTCAAGAAACAAAGTGTTTTTTTTTTTTTCATTTGAAACTGTCAGATCACTAAAACTAAAAGTCTAGTAATATTTTCTTGGTAGAGATCAAATAAGGTACCTGGCGGCCATGTTGGTAAGGGAGAGGGAAGTTTGAAGGGGGTTTCGATTGGCAAAGCCTTCTTTCTTTTGGAGACATCTGTTGGAGAAGAGAGTCTAGGACAATTCCCCATTACGATCTTTTCAAAGGTATATAGATTGAATGTGAAGATATATGTGATAAAACAGAGTGAAACTTACAAGAAGAATAAAGCTAGCATATTTTGTATTGTGAAAGAAAAGGAATTTGAAACTATGCGAATAAAAGGACACTTAAAAAGGGGCAATGAATGTAACGTGTAAGGCACCCAACTGCCTTTAACATACTTTTGGACATTGTTCAACCTCTCTTCGACACCAAGCTCCTTTTCTTTGGATTTGATTGCTTTTCTCTTTTTTGGATCGTGAATTTAGTTCATGATATTATACAAAATTTGACTTATAGCTGCCGTTAGAGATGGTTTTTCAAATACCGGCTCCAAATACAAAGGCAAAACTTAAAGATTTTTAACTTTTGCTTCCAAAAGCAAAACGTTTGTGAAAGGGACAACGAAACTGCAACCAAAGACAACCTATAATGGAGAGTGGATAAGACATACGAGACGGTAACGAAGTTATCATAAACTCAAATAAAATAAACTTGCATAATTTATAGCCGCCTCATTTTGTTTAAAATTTTTTCTCATACTAAAATAGATTTTAATCTTAAATTCGGCCTTAAATTAAAAAATATATTTCAGACCCAACGATTAAAAACTCATGATTTTAATTTTAATTTGATTTTGATTTTGATTTTTAATTTTGATTTTCGTTTAATTTTTATTTTAGTTTTAATTTTAATCTTGATTTTAATTTTATTTTTACTTTTCATCTAATCAAAGTCAATTGGTAAAAAATAAAATAAAAATGGGGTCCAAAACCAGAAAAGATAAATGTGTGATTTTGTTTTGCTTTCACTACGGATTTGGATTTTTAGTGGCATTTTTTATAACGTTTAGTGACGTTTATAAACGATACTAAAAGATTTACGGCGTTTGTAAAAAATATCACTCAGAGTACTGGCTATACACACATCGCGAAAAATAACAACATTTTCAAAAAAACGTCACCATTTTAGCAACGTTTCTATTAGAAACGCCGCTAAATAAGTTACGTTTTTATGAGAAAAATGTCGTTGCTTTAGTGGCGTTTGTAACTAAAAATGTCATTACTTTAAAGGCATTCGTATCTAAAAACACCTCTATATTAGTAGCATTTGTATCTTTGTGACGCTGCTAATTTAGTAGCATTTTTATGAGAAAAATGTCTTTGCTTTGGTGGCGTTTGTAACTGAAAACATCGCTACTTTAGAGACGTTTGTATTTGAAAATATCTCTATATTAGCAGTGTTTTTTATTTTTGAGACGCCGCTAATTTAGTGACGTTTTTATGAGAAAATGCCATTACTTTGGTGGCATTTGTAAATGAAAATGTCACTACTTTAGAGGCGTTTGTATATGAAAATGCCTCCATATTAGCAGCGTTTGTGTTTTTGAGACACCGCTAATTTAGTGACATTTTTATGAGAAAAATACCGTTGCTTTGGTGGCATTTGTATCAAAAACGCCACTTACTAGTAGCGTTTGCTGATAAGAGTGCCATTACTTTTAGTGGCGTTTTACGATACAAATGCCACTAAATTATTCATTTAGTGACATTGTTGAACACAAATGCCACCATTATGTAAAAATATATATTTTTTTAATTTCTGTTAATAAATTTTAATTACGTTAAAGAGCTTAAATTCAAAAACTGAAAATAATATAAACTTAATCCACATTTAAGTATGCATCTAATTAATACAAAGTTTAATAATTAGTATAATAACATTCAAATATTTTTAATACATTAAGAAAATAAAAATTAAAATGTATGAAATGGATGACTGCATACATTTTGCTAGCTGCCAATTGATGAAGAAAATTTTCCACCTTGGTCACTAGCGTGCTCAAAAACTTACTGAAAAATACCATATAATTTTTAACACTTCATTGTAAGCTTTTTTATATTTAAAAATTTAAATATTTACTAAATATAATACCTAAGTTGGTGGAGCACCAAGATCATTTCCTAAAAATTATTGTTGCACAAAATTCATAAGATGATCAAATCGATCATGCAACTGCTGAAATTTTGCATGCTCTTGCTCCATTCTAACACGTTCTTCCTCAATTTTGGCACGCTCCTGTTCTCTTTCTGCTTTCATTTGCTGAAAATGTTGTTGCATAGTTTGCAACTCCTTTCTCAATATTGAAATATCTTGCGAATACTGACTTGCTGAAGATGTAAATTATTGAGAGCTATGTCCATAGTAGGCAGATGGTGTTAGACCCAATCCAAGGCCTTGAACCCATCCATGCCTTTCTTTTCCAGCAACTTCTATGAGTATTCGATTTTTTATTTCTTACATGTTGAGAGAATCATCAGATGTTACTTCAATTTTAGTAGCTATTTTCTCTTTCATTTTTTCCTGTGAATTTGTCATATACAACTATCAAGTTTAATGATTAATTGATAATATATTAAAAAGAGTAAATATTTACTTTCTGTTAAAAGAGATTATACAAATTACCATAATTTCTTGTGTTTTGACATTCATGTAAGATCCATCTTTTTTTGTGTGTGTTATGCGAAAAAGTTTCATATGTCTAATTGTACTGCCGATCTCATTCTCCAACATAAAAACATATGTTATTTTATAAGATACATATCAACTGCAACTTATTCATGCATATCAAGCTTGTCAATCAAGTATTAACATTTCGAATAATTTTAATCTAATGTATTTATATTTTGGCCCCATAACAACACAATAGTCTTAAACATAATCACACCTAAAAACCTTTTGGGCTTTCACACATATAGATCTTGGAAACCAAATTCAATTATTTTCTCTCGGTTTAATATCATGGATTGAAGCCATTCAATATGTTGAAAGCCATCCCAAAGTTTAATTTGTATATTTGCCTTTTATATACAAAAATAGTCCCAAATAGAAATAAACAACAACTTTTTCTCCTATATTAACTGTAGAAACCAAGTTCAATCAATCAGACAAGTTTAATATCAAGTATTGAAGCTATCCAAACTATTAAAATACAACAATAACAACAAATTTGTATTTTTACCTAAATATATGTAAACAATAACTTTTTCATACATATCATCCTTGTCAACTAAGTTCAAAACTTTCGATAAGTTTAGTATCATGTATTGAAACTATCAAAACTATTAAAACAAAAAAATAACTGATAATTTGCAAATTTACCTTTTTATGATAGAAAAAGTTCATTCATTGGAATAAGTTTACTATCATAAACTTACTATTTCTTTTTGCTTTCTTGCAAAACTTTTTAATCCACTTGTGTGGGAATATTTCTGTTGCTTTCTGCTACCAATCCCAATCTGTTCTCTTTCCTGTCATAAAAAATAATTGCGTATATGATAAAAATATAAATATAGTAAACTTATAAAATACAAATATATGATAAAATACAAATATAATGTAAAATACTTGTTTGACTTGAAATGAAAAAACATAACGTTCATCGATGAGTTGTTGTCCAATGTGAATTAATTGAGAAAAATTTACAAGCGTAAATCCATACTGATCTTTCTTAATATCTTTTGTACTATTCACATCACCCAAATCACACCGAAATAAGATAACTTTTCACTTGCCATAATAATCTAACTTAATGATGTCATTAATCATGCTATAATAGTCAACATTTCCTTCTAAAGGGTTTGTGTCCGTAGCACTAGCATAGCTAGTAGTTGATAAAGTCACAATAACTCTTAAATTTTATGTACTTCTAAATCTCTCATGGGATTTAGTTTGAAATCTAAATCCATTGATGATGAAACCTTTGTATCGTTTCACAATTTAGTTTGGACTGTGTGAAAGACACTTCACCTCTTCACTAACAAGTCTTCCACTTCAAACCTATAAAAATGGAATAAATATATATATGTTATTAATGTTATTTATACCATAAGCATTCTATATAGATTTCTCATAATGGGAAGTATGGCATTACTTACAATTGCTCCTAACTATTCATGAAAGTTTTCAATGAACAACTTATCAAGCTCTCGAGGGTTTGATCGTTAATAATGTGCAAGATCTTTCAAATTATTTTTATATTCATTATAAAGTATCATGATAAAGTATTAACAAAAAAAAATAAAAGACAATAAATTATGCTTAATATAATGAATAATTTTCATGCTAAAAAAACTTAGTGTGAAACGATTCAATTGAGCCATGATGAAAAAGAACATATCGATGTGCTTGTGTCTAAGATTTATCATCTAACTCCACCAATTTAGCTTTGCCTATTGGTTGTCCAAAACTTTGAAAAAGATAATTATAGGCAGAGTCTGTATGCTGCATACCAACATTTCTCGATGGTCTATTAAATCTCGTTTCCATATCCTCCAAATAACAAGAACAAAATGCCATACACTCTTCTGCTAAATATCCTTCAGCAATAGAACCTTTCGAATAGCTTTTGTTGTGACAATAAGACTTTAACCTCCCCAAAAACCTATAGCATAAAACATTAGTCATATGTTATTTTAAGTAAAGTGGCTTGATCATAAAAAAAAACGTAATCGATCTATTAACAAATAATACGTTTCAATAGGATACATCCATCGATAATAAACCGACCCATCAATTTTTGCTTCATATGAAAGGTGGATAACCAAATGCATCATAATAGTGAAGAAGTTTGGAGGAAAGATCTTCTCTAAATGGCATAAAGTAATCGCGGCTCGATCTTGAAGTTTGTCAAGCTCTTTCACATTCATACATTTTTAACATAGAGATTTAAATATGTTACTTAATTCAATTGCTACAGAAGTGACTTGGTTTGACATTGATGAACGTAAAGTAATCGAAAGTAAATCTTACATCAAAATGTGATAATTATGTGACTTCAATGAAGAAGTTTTTACTCCTTCAAATTCACACATCTTGATATATTTGACACATAGCCATTCAAAACTTTGACATTTTTTAAAACCTTGCAAAACACATATTTTTCAACTTTAGAAATCCCAAAACAAGCAACAGGCAATCGATATTTGCCATTAGGAAGTAACTTCGGATAAAGGTCTGAGCGAATCTCCATATCAACTAGGTCAAGCTAACTCTTTAGGTCATCCTTGAATCTTCTATTCATATTGAGAATTGTCCCGATAAAATTTTTGTAAACATTCGTCTCTATGTGCAGCAAATCAAGGTTATAGCATAACAAATTATATTCCTAATAAGGTAACTCAAAACAAATACTTTTTTTTCATAACTCAAACCCATTGAGGTCATCTGTTTTATCATCTTTTTCGTCATTTTGAACATCAAGATCGCCAACTTGAGCATGAGTATCACCAACTTACGTAATACGAGACCATACACCTTCAAATATATCCTTCACTTTTTTTCTTAATGGAGTCACTTTTTCATAAGTGAAATTGATATCTTTTAACTTAGACAAGATATTTGACTCACTAATGGGTAAAGGTGATCTCCTCAACTTTTCAGTTTCATCAA